GGCTGTCCTGGGTCTCTGCCTCATTGGCTGAGACAGGAAGCAGGAGCCATTGGGTCCCGCTGCTGTCAATAACAGCCAGTCAGCTAATGAGGAGAGAGGGAGTGGGGCCAAGCCAAGGCTCCATGTGTGATTTGACACAAGGAGCAGCTGGTGCCTCCATAGAAAGCTGCTTGCTATGGGGGCACACAACAGAAAGGAGGGGCCAGGAGAGAGCCTGCGGGGGACCTGAGAAGAAGAGGATCCAAGCTGCTCTGTGCAAAACCACTGCGCACAGCAGGTAAGTATAACATGTTTTTTATTTTACACAAAAAAAAATATGAACCTTTTAGTATCGCTTGAATACGCTTAGTCATCCATTACATTAAAAAAATTTTGCGGCTTACTTTTCTGAAAAAAAAAATTCTGGCAACAAAATAAAATAATTTTCATTTTCAGTTTGTTCTGTTGTCTCCCTGTACTCCTTTTTTTTTTTTTTTGGGTTGAGGTGGGACCTTTATGTATTCTGAGTGAGGCCGTCCCTTTTGGATCTTCATACATTTACCCCACCCAGAGGAAAACGTGTCCTTTTCTTCTGTGTGGGAAGCGTATACAGTCCCCATTTGGGCCTGCATACGTTTACCCCATGCAAAAGAAAACATGTCCTTTTCGTCCGCACGGGGGCAAGTGTATACAGTCCCCTTTTGGGTCTGCATACATTTACCCCACAAAGAGGAAAACGTGTCCTTTTCTTCTGCGTGAGGTAAGCGCGTACAGTCCACTTTGGCATCTGCATATGTTTACCCCACAGAGAGGAAACTGTCCTTTTTTGTCTACGTGAGACAAGCGTATACAGTCCCATTTTGGGTCTGCATACATTTACCCCACACAGAGAAAAAACGTGTCCTTTTCTTCTGCGTGAGGTAAGTGTATAAAATCCCCTTTTGGATCTGCAAATGTTTACTCCACACAGAGGAAAACGTATCTTTTTCACTGAAGTAAAAATGGACTAGTATGACGTGCATCAGAGCAACTTTAAAAAAAAATTAAAGAAATAAGTGAAAACACAACAAGATATATCATTTTCCAATCACCTTATTTATAATAGCAATTACTGAAGAAAAGGTTATAAGATATTAGAGCTGGTGGTAGATGGTCTTGGTTGAAGAATTATTCCCTTGGATTCCACATGGAAATTGGGGACAGGGAGAGAAGGTTAGGTATAGAAATTGGTGTGTAGGGGCATTCATGTGGGAACAAATACGGGTTGGAATTGGGGGCATGGAACGAGGAGGATAAGGGATCAGTACAGAAGTAGGAAGGAGGTGGTAATTGAGAAGGCGGAGGTTAATTCCTTGGGGAGTGGGGATGATGAAAGGAGGACTGGGTCAGTGAAGACAGTCAATGAGGTGTGGGATGATGGCAAGGTAATAGCACCGCTGCAGGCTCGGAAGAGAGGGACCCTGTAAAGCAGTGCATGATAGCTAGGTGGTGGCCCACCACTTATTTTGGCAACTCTAAACTGCATTGCTACTGCATAGAGATTATCCATGCACTGCTTCTCCAGGTTACTGCCAATGTCAAAGAAGCAGGCCAACAACATGTTCTTGGACGGATGATGGTGTATCAGGATCTGGTTCCACAGAAACCTGAAAAAAATTGGAAAATGATTACACAAATCCATGGAAAATATTTAGATAAATAGACAGATACCTGACACAGTGAGTAACCAGTGGTCTCGGCTGTTGGATGGGGGGGAAATATTGCTGTCCGAAGCACTTGTGAAAGAGTCTCCTGAAAGCACATCTGGATCCACTGCCTTTTCCGTCTCACTTATATCCTGTATGTCTGTTCTGAAAAAAGGATAACAATATATGTAAAAAAAAAAAAATAGTACAAAAAGGAGAAATGATCTAAAAAAAATTCTATTTTCTCCCAAAAAAATAAACAATTTTACCAAAAGGCTGCAGGTAACGTAATAAAAATTATTTCTGAAAAGGAAAGCACCAAAAATGACTGCATTAACATTAGCAAAAAAAAATCGATTACAAAAATAAAAATTAACAAAGAAAAACAAAAACGTACTCTCTTGTGTTTGAAATCATTGATTGACAGAGGAATAACAAGTTGTTGAGGTAACATGCTGCTTCTTGTGCAGAGCTGGAGCCCCACTGCTCATGGCCTTCTCCTCCTCCATGAGATCCCTGTTTACCCAATCCCGCAGGGATTTCCAACATTTGGTCGGTATCTGGGCTTAAAAAACCCACAACTGTGTAAAGGAAGGTTAATCTGCAATCTGCAGTACCATTACAACAAAAATATCATGCATTCTTTATAATGGATTTCTTTCCTTTTTCTGAAAAGTGCTCAATCGCTCCCAGTTTGACATCAAAGCTGAGGTAATGTCCGTCCATAGTTTCACTTTCCCTAACCAGTCATTATAGAGGGGATTAGAAACATCCCACAACTCTGCATGGGCCTCTATAGCAATGATTAGTTCTGTCTTGGACACATCTGCAGCCAAAGGCATAGTTTGAAGCTTTTGGGCCCTGATGCAAAAGTTGACCTGGGGCCCTTCGCTACCACCCACCACTTCCACTGCACGCCAAGATACTCCCAATGGCTTGGACTCAGAGGGGCCCAAATTGGGCCCTTCCTACTTCCAGATTCACATATTATCTCATTCATTTCACCGAGCAGTTCAGAAATCAGAGAGCCCCCACTTTGTTGTCACATGCACAGTTGAGCAGGGCGCAGAGGAAAGGGCTGTATTGGGCTGGGTGGGGGGGCTGAGAATAGATTGTGTTGCTGGGGTAAAGGGCTTGCCCCCATCATCCTGTGTAGGTGAGACCAGAAACTCAGAGGGCCTGAAACAGGCCCTCCGAGTTTACTGGATTACCGACGCAGGGTGATGGGGCAAGAGCTTTTCCCTGTGACACAATGTAAAACTCGGGTAGCCAACCCCTGAGAGGTGAAAATCTACATGAACAACATGAAAGAGATCAAAGATCATTGGGGTTCTGCACTTTTTTTTTTTTTTTTTAAGAAACTAACTAGCAAGGCCTAACTAAATAGTAAGGAAAATTTAGAAAAAAATAATAAAACACTGTGAAAAAAAAAACTTGGCCTACCGTAAAAGTGGACAGTGTAAGTAGACAGTAGAGCAGGTGTCACTATTGCACTGTCAATAGGGCAGAGGACAATGTCAGTAGTTTTTTTTATTATTTATTTATTTTTATTACAATTATTTTTTAGGAGTTTTGGTGAAATATCAGGGGTCCCATCTGCACAAACATATACACTATATCCCTTGCAACAACCTGCCCGCACCTCTTGTAATACCATATGACCCCGGAGCACTCCACACCCACCTTGCATAGGGTGAGAGGAATGCAGGGCTGGTCAAGGTAGATCTCTCCCAGTCGGCCCACTGCTTTCTGTGTGCTTCATGTTTATTTTGGGCAGCTGAGCCTATATTTTTTGTATAATGTTTTATTGTATTTTTAATACATTTACAATGTTCCAAGTCAATTTTAAAATGGCAAGAGGAATATAGGGACTATTAAACAAAAGGACCACAAAGTTCTGGTGCAGAGGGAGTGGTAGAGGCAATGACATTGGGCTGTGCAGTGTTTGCACTGTGTGCTACTAAACATACAGTACCTTGCTTTGCCGCTGGGGAAGCAGGGGCTGTGGTCTCTCCTCCTCTCTCCTCCATCCCAGTCCCGATAGCATAAGATACATGGCAGTGCCCATCTTGGCTGCAGAGTGATTTGTCAGGTAGCAAAGAAGGAAGAGAGGGTTCCCGCTCCTGTGCTGGCTCCAGCAGTTGGGACCGCTACCCCCAAACTCCAGCAGCTGCTGCTGTGCTCGTTCCTGAGCCCTTTTCCGCCCGGTTGTCAGTGTTAACACTTCCTCCCCCATCCCAGGCTGCTCTCATCCCATCCTCACTCCTCTGCTCTGTTCGGGCAATAGCACCAAAAGATCAAAACTTCTCCCCAGCCAATGGGCGTGTTTTCGAAGGCAAGGTGGAAGCTGGGTACTGGAGCAAGAATTTCACCACTTGGCTGCGGGACACGGACACGATGCAATGACACTGCAGGATCTGATCTGGACTCTAGGATTTTGTGTGGGGGGAGTAGGCTATAATGACACGGAAGCCACACGGGTCCCCTAGAGCATGGGCAGTGTCGCACTTTTTGACCCCTGCAAACCCTGATGCTACGTCCATGTCTGCAACCATCGTTCCTCTCCACAACCACAAGGCTGAGCAAAGAACACGTGGGTAATGTACAGGCAGGAATTTCCTGGTTTGGCTGATGTTACAGTGACCAATCACATTATTAACGCCCAAAAACGCTTGACGCAGCTAAATGCTCTTTGGCGAATCAAGCGTTTTTACAGCTGAAAATTACCTCTTCAGAACATGTTGGCCCTGGGTTTTATCTAGAGCTCCTAAAAGCCCCTGCCTTTTAAAAGTCTATGTGTGCATGGACACGTAGTATAAAATGGAAGGGTATTTGGAAGCTGTAAAAAAAAAAAAAAAAAAAAAAGCCTGATGCCCCTAAAAGTGGCTGCAAATACTGTATACCCTATGTGCACGAGGCCTTAGAAGACAAATTGCTGCAGGAACAGCATATGTATGGAAGGATCCTGTATGCAAACGTTGTGTAAAGGTACTTCTGTCGATGAATAACTGGTCAGGGGCCCTAAACCACACATTTCTAAGTAGACTGAGGTCTTCATTTGTAGCTAAATCTCACACTATACATGTATAAGTGTATTATATATGCTAACTTTGAGTTTTTCGGCACTCTAATACATACACTACTGCTCAAATAGTAAACTTTGTTAATCATGGGAGTCTGAAGTCTATACACTCCGCTTTAGTAGATATGCAATGCCTGAGCATATGTTTGCCTCTTCCCTCAGATGATGGACTGAATTCTACATTGTAGTGCTGCTGGTGGTATATTAAGGGAGGTCTGGAGGAGCTTACTGTGTATGCCTATTTCTTCTTGCAGGTTGAATTTAAGAGGATATAGTGGAACAGCAGGAAGGACCAGCAGTTTTAGTCCCACAGGAACTGACTTCAGCACCAAGGATGCAGATAACGACAGATGCAGCTGCAAATGTGCACAGATTGCAACAGGAGGTAAATCAATATTTTTATGGTGATGCATGTATAATTGTATGAGCATGTAAACGTTTCTCAATTTTGGACTTAGGAACAGGTCTATCTCATGAGAATAACAACACCATGCTTGCCTTGAAATCTTTTAAGTCCAAAATTGACAAACATGCAACAGTTGAACATGATCTGCAGGGCCAGATTTAAACTCCCTCTCCCTTTGGTCAATTGTCTTCTGGTACCACTCTGATACTTCATTTGCCTGGCTAGCTTTAGTATCAGAATGAACAGATCAGAAATCACAGGCACAAGAGGCATGCCAAGGCAAAAGATGGAGAGGTTGAAAAAGACATTTATACCACTCTGCCTTGGTATGCCTGTTGTTAACATCTAGAAAAGTCAAGTCGAGGCAAATTGTGGTCCACCTTTGCTAGCAGATCTATTCTAGATATGTGGACCTAGAACATGCAAGCTGTAATAATCCAGTACACTATTACAACAGTAAAAAGTGAAAGCATTTCCAAGAACAGTGCAACTCAGAACTAGAATAACCCAAGCGCAGTGTAACTCAGAACTAGAATAGCCCAAACACAGTGTAAATCAGAACTAGAATAACCCAAACACAGTGTAACTCAGAACTAGAATAGCCCAAGCACAGTGTAACTCAGAACTAGAAAAGCACAAGCACAGTGTAACTTAGTACTAGAATAGCCCAAGCATATTGTAACTCAGTACTAGAATAGCCCAAGCACAGTGTAACTCAGTACTAGAATAGCCCAAGCATATTGTAACTCAGTACTAGAATAGCCCAAGCACAGTGTAACTCAGTACTAGAATAGCCCAAGCACAGTGTAACTCAGTACTAGAACAGCCCAAGCACAGTGTAACTCAGAACTAGAATAGCCGAAGCACAGTGTAACTCAGAACTAGAACAGCCCAAGCACAGTGTAACTCAGAACTAGAATAGCCCAAGCACAGTGTAACTCAGTACTAGAATAGCCCAAGCATATTGTAACTCAGTACTAGAATAGCCCAAGCACAGTGTAACTCAGTACTAGAATAGCCCAAGCACAGTGTAACTCAGTACTAGAACAGCCCAAGCACAGTGTAACTCAGTACTAGAATAGCCCAAGCACATTGTAACTCAGTACTAGAACAGCCCAAGCACAGTGTAACTCAGTACTAGAATAGCCCAAGCACATTGTAACTCAGTACTAGAACAGCCCAAGCACAGTGTAACTCAGAACTAGAATAGCCCAAGCACAGTGTAACTCGGAACTAGAATAGCCCAAGCACAGTGTAACTCAGAACAAGAATAGCCCAAGCAGCCAAATATCAAGCAGCTAGCACTGCCATGTGAAAGGAAGTTAGTCAAGTGTTTTACATTCTGAGAAGTACCAGGTATTTCTCTTTTCTTTTGATGGATAAAACAGCTTAAAAATGAGAGGTTCTGTCATATATTTTTTGAATAAAAATGTCTCTATTCCTAGGTTGGTGGTTTGATGCTTGTGGGCCTTCAAACCTCAATGGTATTTATTATCCAAGTGGATCTGGAACTGCTAAGTACAATGGAATCAAGTGGCATTATTGGAAAGGCCCCAGCCATGGACTGACGTCTGTCACCATGATGATCCGTCCTACTGCATTTTGAACTTTTGATGTGCACATCGACTTCTAAAGTTTCACTATGCTTTTTTTGCTTTTTATAATTAAAAACAAGAAATGATCTGAATTGAATTGACATTGCAGAATAAATTATACATTCTTTTTTTCTGTTCTTTAGGCAATGAGAGTATATTTTGTTTTGGTACAGTTAGGAAACATGGCTTTAAAGTGTTACTAAATCCAGGACCCTGCATTCACTGGTCTCCCACAGTACACAGAACATGGAAATGCAATTATTTTAGCAAATAGAAACTGCTAAATACCTTTTCTCATCAGCAGTTAGAGCAGTCTTGTGATTTCTATCAGTGTCCAGCCGAGCACTTGTTAAAAGCTTGTAGGAGTTTTCATTTTGCTCTAGGAGGATGCCGAACCCCTGACCTATGTCTGGACAGTGCTGATTGGCTCTGTGCTGATCTCATGCACTCTCCCAAGAAAAAAAAAAAAAAAAAAAAAAAAACACTCTTAGCAATACACACCAAACTGAGCATGTGCAGAGTGACCCCACATGATATGTCTTATCAGGACATAAGAGGGGGACACTGGAAGAAGGGGAGGGTCAGAGAAGTCAGGATCAAACAGCATTTTTACACAGTGCAAAAGATTAACCCCTTAGGTTCCACAGTGAGTATAACAAGCATGCTTTACTGCATATACAGACTGATTTTACTGTTGTGAGTTTAGTAACACTTTAACTATTGAAGGGACATTTCCATTCACAAGGGCTCTATTTTGTACCTGCCATCAGTAAAGACCTAGTACTGTTGACTGGAAAAGAAAAGGAAAAACTCAACCCAAAACAAGATGTATTTTTATATAAGAAAAAGTTGTAAAGTACAACAGATCCCTCAAAGTACTGATTTCCCACATCTGAGCAGAATCACTTGAAAAAATACTATAATAATTACCTGCTTCCTGCTAACCTCACCATAAAGCCCTGATTAATGCTCTAACAATAATCTCCTAAGGCTCCATGTACACAAGCCTGCCCTGACCGCTGGCCACGCAGCATGCTTTTGCCCGTGATTTTGCAGCGGTTTTGCCAAGTATGGTGTTTTTCTGCGGTTGGTGGTCCAAACGTTCCTATCCTGAATGCGATTCTTCCGTGTTCAGGAGACGGAGGTTTAACCTCACCTAAACACGACAGTTACTGAACTCTGCTGTACATGGACACATAGGCTTTTATGGATTTGAGTTTAGGAGCTTTGGCAAAAAAAATGCCCAAAGCTCCTAAACTCAAGTTTAGGAGCTGCTCATGTACATGGGGTCCAAGTGTAATGCCCTTACCTCTCTTGTTTTTATATACCCTTACCTCTTTTCCAACCCTTATCCTTCTAAATGGTAAGCTGTTATGAGCAGAGTCCTTGCATTGTATGAGGGGTGTTCAAATCAAACTGGGACTTTTACAGGTATAAAAAGGGATGCTAGTGTGGCAGTACTAAACGTAGGAAGTGGCAAGTGTGTCCTATTACTGATAGGCGGCACACAATGGCCAAGCCAGAGACTGTTAATCAATATGGCAGACAACCCGTGTTAGGGAATGCATGGAACAGCATGTTGTGATGAAGTTTCTTGTGAACAAAGGTGGAAAACCTGTGGGTATCTACAGAAGAGTTTAAGCACAGTACGATGGTGAGATGCTCAGTCGCAGTAAGACATTTGAATGGTGTAAACATTTCAATAATGGCCTTAGGTCCATCAGTGATGATCCCAGTCATGGTGGTTCCCAGCCCACAGCGGTGATTCCTGTAAACATTCAGCGTGTGGAACACCTGATCCTGAATAATCCATGCATAATCCGTCGTTAAGTTGCACAAGAGGCAAATCTTTCTGTGGTCAGCATTTCAGCACTGATGACAAAGTGAAGCAGGCTGTCCTAGGACAGTTCAGGCATCCTGACAAATCTTTCTATGCAGACGCTTTGCAGGCATTAATCAAATGCTGGGATAAGTGTATAAATATAGCAGGGGAGTATGTTGAAAAATAAATGCAGTTTCCACTCCTTGAAATTTGTTCTTTTATTATATAAAACTGGAAAGTCCCATTTTGACTTGAACGTCTCTTGTATCTTGTTATTGCTTTTACGAGTGCTTGTCATTGAAAGCATTTTATGTATTTGTATAACCCATACTAATACTTTGTGGAAGGTGCAGCACCCCAAGAGATGATGGCTCTGTATATACAGTAAATAATCTGAATATATCTTAAAGCCAAGTTCCAGTCAAAAAACTTATTTTTTGTATGTCCTATGTATAACGCGCAACTTACTATTATACCTGAAAATGTGCACATTTCTCATTTAAAACTGTCCCCAAAACTGTGCTGCTGATATCCTCCTTAAAAGAAATTACTTCCATAGACCTGCTGCCTTGCTCATTGCCAAACTGCTAACTGAACAGAAGGAACAGTAGCATATTAATGTGTCATACCTTTGCTCTCCCCATCTATTAGCAAGTGCACAGTTTAAGAGTGGTGACTCTCTGCCATAGAATAAAGCCTAATTGACTTACAGTATTGGTTTTACCCCCTCCAAGTCTGTGTCTGGCTTAAAAATCTAAAATAAATAAAGATCTCAGATACTCAGAACTTTTTACATTTGTATTGTGTACCTATTGAGAAGATTTCCCTTTATTCCCCATCCTGATGATACCCTACCACACCCAGGGGCGTACTGACAACTCATAGTGCCCCCGGGCAATAGGGGATCATGGGGCCCCTGTGTCCTTGCCCAAACTCAAAAAAGCCTATCAAAAAGGTACCAGGGGCATCTCAAGGGGCCTCCTACTGGCCCCGGGCCTTCGAGCATCGCCCGAGTTTCCAAATGATCAGTCCTCCCCTGACCACACCATAACACACTGGGGGTTAGTTACTAATGCAAACTCTGGTGCAGCAGAAACCAATCGGCTTCCAGGATCTATTGCCAAAGCTTAACTGAACAAGCTGAAGTTAGAAGCTAATTGGCTACCATGCACAGCTGCACTAGGTTCCGAGTGCTCTACCTTTAGTAAATCTTCCCCTCTGAGTGTCACTGGGACTAGAAGAGATGGGAATCCTTTCATGTCAGCAGTACTTATGTTTAATACAGTTTGTACCTTTGTAAGAAAATTTATCCTTAATGATGTACTATTCTCATGAAAGGGAAGAAGGACACTTAGCAAAATCTTCTCAATGGGAACAAAATCAACAAAAAACCTTTGTAAGGAATCATGTCTCCAAGTTTTTTGAAAATATATTTGCCAGGAAATCATCATGACTTACGAAGCTCACAGTAAGTTCATTTGGTCATGACCATTCCTGGAAATATGGAATTATAATAGTCAAATATTGTTTTGACAAAGCACAGTTTTTGTGTGAAACCACGCGTTAGCATTCACCCTCCCCTGTTTGTACATCTGTGTGCTTTCCATGGTTTGAACAAATAACGTTTTTTTTTTGGATCTTTCATTGTGAGTGAAGCTATCCGACCTTCTTTTTTTTTTATACATCACAGCTGCGACTGGGCGAGCACCCCAGATACAGAGATCTTGCCGTCTGTGCCGGCTCACCTTTGAGCAGCGTGCATGTTTGTTAATAATGGTAAGCTGTAGTATATAACATGTTTGGTTTAAATTGTATCTAAACCCAAAATCCTCACATTTCTTTGCCTATGCAAGGTAGAGCAACGGGTTCAGGTTAATGCTCCTTCCCCAGCTGTACATGCTTTGCTCCCCCACTACAACATTCAGCCATGAAAAAAGAAAGAAAGACAGCAGGACAAAGCACAAGCTCGCTTTAAGTTAAAATGCCATCTTATTCTTAAAAATGTTATGATTTACCTAGCTTCATTTCGTTTGTTAGCAAGCATTCAAATTCCATATAGCCAGGAATGGTACTGTGAGCTTCTCAAGAGTCCTAATATATGTGTGTTAAGGGAACCAGACTTCAACGGGCCCAGATATCTTTTTGATGCATAATGTAATGCCATACCAATGTCATATACAGGCATTTTGCCATGTGGACACACTGCACATGGCAACTGATTTATCTGCAGCATGTGATTCTCATGCCATGCTCCTAGTATCTGCACCTGGTTAGAATTTCTATCAGTAATGCTTAGTTTTTTGTACAAACATCATTTTGTGTTGGAAATAAACAGAAAAACTTAATATTCCTGTTATAATTTAAAATTCCAGCATTCATATCAATGTTATACTCATTGACCTGATTTAAAATGTGCGAGCAATTCCTACTGGACTTTACCATAAAATCAGTGACTATACAGTACATCAGTGAGCAACTTCCAAAGAGATTCATTAGGCAAGGTTCTCCTCCCGCCACTTGTTCCTGGAAGACATCAGGAGTAAAAGTTATACAAGTGTTGCTTCAGGCAGCTCAGATGATCAGAATGCTCCTGGCAGCTGAAATATGAAAGTATGGCTTTGTTTAGAAAGGCTTCAGCATGTATAACAGAAGTATGTGCAGAAAGCTATACAAAGCATTTGCATAGCCTTCAGCAAGCTTTGTTCAAGCCTTTAAAGTACCATTGATCCCCAGAATGGGAATTTTAACAAAAGATGCAGTGGAGTGCCCATTTACTTAAAACGCTGAGATTCAGGAACAGTCCAATTTAATGTTTCCTACAATTCTCTTGGTTCCTGGGCACACCCAGGAAAGATAACTTCATACACCTCCCTCCCTCAGCAGTTTAGAGAGGCCACACCTTATGAGGCAGAGGTAGCTGGGCAAGTGATCTACATCCAAGCAAGAAGAATTCTACGTTCAGAACTGCTGTACAGGCAACCAGGCCAGAGCCTCATATCATGCAGCTTCTCTGGAAAACCCAGTTGCTTTGTGGAGTACCTTCCCAAGTGCTGCCAAAGTACTGCAGTTTCGGCTGAGTTGTGCTTTGTCTTTGAATCCCTGTTTTTCCAGAGCTACCTTGGACTTCACAGAGAGGGATACTGTTTATGAGGATAATCACAGGTAGCTGTTTTACTGAAGTAGTGATTC